TGTGTTGACAAATAGTAACTGCACTAGTGGGGGTGAGGATTTAATACTATAGATAACTGTTGAACCACTGCACTGTATACTTGAAACCAGTAAAAGATTGTATATCACACAATGGAATATTATTCAGCCATAAAAAAAGAAATCCTGCCATTTGTGACAACATGGATGGACCAAGAGGGTATTATGCTAAGTGAAATAAGCCAGATAAAGACTAATACCATATGAGTTCACTTATTTGTGGACTCTAAAACAAAACAAAACAAAGTGAACAGAACAGCAGTAGACCCACAGACACTGAGAAGTGACAGGCAATTACCATGTAGGTTGAGGTGTGTGTGTGTGTGTGTGTGTGTGTGTCTGTGAGGGGGATAAAGAGGCACAAAAACCTGCATTGGGGATGGAAATCTGTCATGGGGATGGAAATGCAGCATGGAGAATATAGCCAATGATTCTGTAATATCTTTCTATGTTTATAGATAGTAACTGTGCTAGTTGAGGTGAGGATCTAATAATGTGTGTAACTGTTGAATCACTGTGCTGTGTATTTGAAACCAATATAATATTATATATCAACAATACTTGAATAAAAAGTACACTTAAAAAAAGATTGTATATCAATGATACTTCAACAACAACAAAAAAGATGGTTTGTAGAAATGTTTGCTGCATGTAAAACAAAATATTTAGTACAAAAAAGTTGTTAAACTGTAAATTTAAATGATTATCATAAATGTATATACATAGAAAAATTCTGAATGGATATATTTTTTTACTTTTAATAGCAGTTACCTCGGAAGCTAGGTTCCTAGTTTTCTTCTTCTTACTTCTCTATATTTCCTAATTTGGGTGCACTGAGAAATCTTTTATTTAAAAAAGGTTTTCAAAATTATACCCCTGAGGAATTGCATAGGAAAGCTAAGAACATTCCTTACAGGAGTCCCCTTATCTAAACACTTGGTACATCATATGGTTATTAATCAGGTTTCCTGCCTCACTAGAATGTGAGTCCTCGCAAAATAGGAACTGAGTCTTACTCATTCCTTTTTTTATTTCTAATGCCTATTTTAGTGTGTGATATGGTAGTAAGCTGAATGGATGAATGATAACCTTTAGCAAGGAGCCCCAAAGTCGCCCCAAGCACTGAATTTGGATTCTATATAGGAAACCCAGTCACTTGTGGAACACCCAAGGCTGGCCAGAGCCTCTCAGTAAATACAAATTCCATTTAACCAACTGCCCAAATGGAAAAATCCTGAAGTTTTCATTGACTCCTTTTTCCCTCACACCTATGTGTTCTCCCCATTTCACTGCTCTGAGATCATCTCACAGGTCCCCTGCACCGGTTCCCTGCCTGCTCTCCATGCTTTCTTCTGATGCACAGTAGTCTTCATACAACAGCCAAAAGAACCTTCTAAAGGGCAAATCTAATCATGCCACTGAAAGCTCAAAACCCTCAATGGTTTCCCATCACATGTAGAATAAAACCCAAAGTGTTCCCAGGCCTTACAAGCCCTGCATGATCTGTCCTAGATGGCTACTTTGAACCTACACCTCCCTGCCTCCCCACTGGCTCACAGGGCTCCAGCCACAGGCGCCTGCCTACTATTTCTAGAACTTGTCAAGCATGTTCCAACCTCTCCCTTCCCCACTCTCACCTTTTTTTCCTCTTTGCTAGGAATGCCCTTCTTAAAACTTACCTTATCAAAAAGATCTCTGCTTAAAAGTCACTTTATCACCGTGTAGCACAGAGAAGGCAAACAGTGAATCTGTGGCATCTGACTACACTGATGGACAGTGACTGCATTAGGATATGGGTGAGGACTTGGTAATATGGGTAAAGGTAGTAACCACATTATTTTTTCATGTGAAACCTTCATAAGAGTGTATATCAATAATACCTTAATAAAAAATTAAATTTAAAAAAGTCCCTTTATCAAAATGGCTGTCTTTAACTACTTTTCTTTAAAACAGCAATTCTTCCTAACTAGCCTTCACTCACTCTTCCTTTAAACTGCTTTATTTTCCTTCAGTGAACCACCTACCATAATTTTATCAATTAATTGGTTGTCTATCTCCCCCACTAGAATGTCTATTGGAACAAAGACCATATTCTTTCCCCCATTTGATGTCAAGCACTTACAAACAGTGCCTGCCACACTGAAGATTCTGAATAAATACGAGATAATTAGGTGAATGAATGAATAAATGAATGACTTCAGCAAGACATATTTCAAGTTCTCACATAATCCCAGTATTTGGGCCAGTGTCTGCTCCAAACTACAGAATATTTCTTGAGGTGAACACCAGAAAGGGATGTTGTGATAAGCAGGTAGAATACCAGCATCACATTATTCAAGAACAATGTTGACGTTGCTGATTCTTGTCAATAGGCCTGGAGTTCCCCAACCCCCAGAAAGCCTCCCCATATCTCATCGCACTACCATTTAAGACCCACATCCACCTTATTGAAAGTTAAAGGTTTTCTAAGAATTTATGAACAGATTTAACAGACATTGTAAATTATTTCCATGAAGAAAGGTTGAGGAAAAGTCAGTTACTTCATAATATGAGCAACTTCATTCCCGTTAACCAATAACCATTGTTTCTTGACATGTTGCCCTGTAACAATGAACAATAATATGATTTGCTAAAGCCACTAATATTTTCCCTTGGCTTAATTATATCAGTAAAATGTGGCAAGAAGAGACCCTGAAAAATAAACACAGGCATTCTCAAGGCATGCGAGGGTGAAGCCTCAGGGTAGCAAGGTCAGCTGTGGTCTGTATCTCACAAGTAGTATGTTAACTAAAAACAGATAAAGTTCTTAAGTTGGAGAATTACTTAAAAGACAAACTAGAGTATTGTCAATGTTATTTACAACATTCACGTCCTTTCTAATATACATTCTTGTAAAAAAGCAGACCCATACCAGATCCGAAAATCTCCATAACTCTAGTTGTCCTGTCATTTAAGTAAACTTTGAATGACATTCCTGACAGTCAACTACAGTTGTTTAAAAACACGATTTTTCAAAACACCAGAGTCAGTATAGCACAGTGCAGAATCCACGTTGTGGAGTCAGGCCAGCCTGAGTTAGAATTCCATTTCTGCTAGTTAGTTGTTGTGTGATCTTAGATCAGTTCTCTAACTTCTCTGGACTCCATAACTCATCATCTATAACATGCAAATAAGAAGACCCATTGTACAGAAGTGTTATGAAGATGGAGACAATGCATGCAAACCACTTATCAAGTACATCTTGTCCCAGGAAAAGATGATTAAAGAACAAGTAAACAGCACTCAGCAAACAGAGCCACAGAAACAGTGGAAGGGGGTCCACTCCTAGGAATTTAACCAGAGAAAACAAAATCCCTGATTCAAAAAGACATGTATACCCCTACGTTTATTGCTGCACTTGCAATAGCCAAGATATGGAAGCAACCTAAGTGTCTATCAATAGCTGAATGGATAAAGAAGATGTGGTACATATACACAATGGAATATCATTCAGTCATAAAAGAAAAGAAATCTTGCCATTTGCAACAACATGGATGGACCTAGAGGGTATCATGCTCCGTGAAAAAATCCAGGTGGAGAAAGACAAGTACCATATGATTTCACTTATTTGTGGAATATAAAAGCAAAGCAAAACAGAAGGAACAAAATAGCATTAGACTCATAGACACTGAGAAGTGACCAGGGCTTACCAAGGGGGAGAGGGACTGCTGAACCACTGTGATGTACATTTGATAATTTAAAAAAAAAAGTCAAAGGAAGTAAAATAACAAGTGCTGAATCTAGAGAAATAAACACTCTATCTACAGGATAATTTTCATAGGTCTAGTAAGTTAATCAGAAAAGCGTTGCAGCTTAGGGATAGGTCAAAAGTACCCAACAGCTTATAACCACATGAAATGCTTAAATTTTATATTTAATTTTTCTACCAACTCTGTTGATCTTAGCGGCTTGTTCACTACTTGGATATTTGGCACCTCACTGAAATTACAAAATGTATAGAGAAGGATTAGTTTCAATTTCAAACCAGAGGTTCTTGATTTTCAAGACCACTGGTCTACAGTACAATTAATCTTCTTTATCTGCTATTTGGTCTTTAGTATCTTAAGAACAAAAGATATGTACTTAATATTCTAGGAAAATAGGCACCAACCTCTACCCTTTAGGATACATGTTTTAAATGTGATTATGTACCATACGTATTATGTTTGTGAATTCTGAAGATATTAAATAATAATGACACACACAAAATTTAAAAAATTTTTTTAAGTGGAAGGGGGAAATCTGTTTGCAAACCTCTGCACACAGGCAGCCAAACAGGAAAACGTCCTCCACAAGGAGTCTATAAATTGAAGCATGTATTGAGAGAAGAAAGAAGCATGTATTCTCACGTGCCCTGAGAAGAAATAGCACCTTTCATCATAGCCCAATCAGCCTTAAAAGTTATTTCACCTTTCCACTGGCACTGACAATCCTAACATTACACTTGCGGGTCTTATTCCGGTCCACCTATGTGCTGCATCAAACCCAAATCTGTCCCTCTGAGGCCTAAAAATGAAAATGAAGAACTGAGACATTACTGAATAGCTAACACTTACTTAGCAGAAAACTACTGACCCCATAGTACCCAAGTTGCTGAAACTGTAACCTCCGGCCTTCTGTTTTGACAGTGATAACGTTCTTTGCTATACACGCTTCTGCAGAGAACCATGGCAGCAAGTAAACCGCCCGTGGAAATACCGTTTGCCCTATCTATACTTCCACTTTTCAAAGTTACTGATGCCCCAAGGGTGCTCGCCCAGTCTCCCCCAAGCCTGGGCCCCAGCGGTGCTCTCCGCCAACAGCGATTAACTGCCCGGGCATCCCCCCCACGGACCGCGTGATACAAAGGGGAAGTCGGCGCCAGGCGTCCCAGGCGTCCCAGGGCCCGCTCGGCACGAGGTGGGCGCGGGCGCAGGCTCGCGGCGGGGGGCCGCCCGCGGTACCTGGATGAGGCCGCTCTGGAACAGCGCGCTGTGCACGCAACCCGGGACCCTCCCGGGCAGCTCCAGCGAACCGTTCTTGTTGCGGATCGTCCAGCCTCCCAGCAAGCTGAAGCTGCGCTCCGCGACAGCGGGACTCACACCGCTCAGAGCGAGCAGTAGGAGCAGGTGGAGGTGCATGCCGGCAGCGGCCCCAAGGTCCTGGCGGAAGCGCCGCGCCCTGGAGAGCAGACCTGGCTCCCGCGATCTCCCCCGAGCCCGGCCCCACCCCCATCCGGCCCC